GCCGAACGGCAGCCTCGACAGGTATTTGCACGACCAAGATAAACCCACCTTGGATTGGGGCCAAAGGTTCAAGATAATCAAAGATGTAGCATCGGGTCTGCTGTATCTTGACGAAGATTGGGAGAAGATCGTCATCCACCGTGACATCAAAGCCAGCAATGTGCTCCTCGACGCGGAGATGAACGGCCGGCTGGGTGATTTCGGGCTTTCAAGGATGTACGACCATGGCACGGATCCGAACACCACCCACGTGGTTGGCACGATGGGGTACCTAGCCCCGGAGCTCGGGCACAGAGCCAAGGCGGCACCGCCCACTGATGTGTTCGCGTTCGGCGTGTTCCTTCTCCAGGTCACATGCGGGAGGCCGCCCGTCGAGGAGGACGCTCAAGGGAGCCAGGCCGTGCTTGTCGACTGGGGCCATGTTTAGTTGCCCCAAATTCCAGAATTTTGCAACTATCGCGCAGAAGATTTCCGCCACATCAAACTTGTAGGGCTCGTATGGAGACTAAATGTTGGCGAAATCAAAACTAATTACACAGTTTGCCCACTGATGTTTTGAGCGTTTAGCGTCAACGTTCCAATTATTACGAAATCAAATGCGGGACTACCGCCTGAAGAGGACACGTCCGGAAAACCGGGCGCCAATCCGTGCTTGTCAACTGGGTGCTTCACCATTGGCGCAACGGCTCCATCATGGAAGCAGCTGATCCGAGGCTCGGAGATGACTATGCCGCCAGGGAGGTCCAGCTGATGCTCAAGCTTGGCCTGCACTGCTCACATCCACTGGCCAGCGCGAGGCCTACCATGCGGCGAGTTGTCCAGTGCCTTGACGGCGACATGGTCTTCCCGGAGAATGAGGTGATGCCCATGAATTTCAGTTTCAGTATGGCGACTCTGATGAAGGACCAACAGCTTGAGCTGGATGCCGTGGCGTGTGAGTTGTCTTCAGCGTCAAGCGCTGGCACTGTGTCTAGCACTGTCGGGAGGAAGATGACGGGCTGACGGCATAATGGCATATGTAAGGCTCTGTGCTTCTGTGGCTAAGTAAAATGGCCACATGTTTTCTTGTTTGGTTATCTCAGACCGCAAGGAGGTGTATGCCGCCGACCCATGTCTTGCTCTTGTAAGAAATATATGCAGTAAATGGAACAATACAGATCAAGTTATCTGAGAGCTTGAATTCCCATAACTAATCTGGTAAACAAAAATATGAGTGACAAAAATCTGAAATTGTCCCCTAACATGCATGATAAACTAAGCATATTATACTAAATATTTACGTCCAAATCCTGTGTTTTGAGTGACTAGCTGACAAATGTTTCGCTCGCTGCTTACTTTTTTTTTAAAGCTCCTTACATTACACTTCTGAGAATGAGTCAAGGAAGATGCCCGGCCGGCAAAGTAACGAGACAAGAGTAGCTAGTAATAAATACTGTATCTTTCCCTGAGGTGACATGAGGACGTTAAAGTTTGGCAGTGTAAAGATTCAAAGAACATCCTTTCCAGGAAGGCACATGCGAGAGAACAGTATTAGTGATGCATTACTTTGTTGAATTGACTTGGAAGAAGACCTCCACCGAGCACTGCTAGGCGTCCAGTTCAACAGAATAGACGAGTGCTTCCCCAGTAACAAATGTTCGAGAAGTTTGCCCAGCTCATGCATCACGGCAGCCATGGTTAGGGTCAGGTCCATCTCCATCCTTCTACTCTTTGTCCTCTACAAAATCGAGCTGGTTTCATCTGCCAGCGACGAGCAGTTCGCCTAATGAAGGTTTCGCTGGTGCAAACCTCACCCTTGATGGCGCTGCCGCTGTCACGCCAAGCGGCCTGCTTGCTCTAACCAACGACAAGCACACCAAAGGCCATGCGTTCTTCCCAGCTCCTCTCCACTTCCACAGGCCAGTGAGCGGCGCCGCCCTCCAGTCATTCTCAGCCACTTTCGTGTTTGCCATCATCTCTGAGCACGCCCAGCTGAGTGACCACGGCCTCGCCTTTCGTGCTCGCACCCAGCAGCAACCTCTCGGATGCCACTGGAGCGCAGTACTTGGGGCTCCTCAACATCAGCAACAATGGCAAGGCCAGCAACCACATCCTCGCTGTCGAGCTTGATACCGTCCTCAGCCCCGAGTTCCATGACATAGACAGCAACCATGTTGGCATTGACGTGAACAATCTCCAGTCCATGGAGTCTCACACTGCCGGCTACTACGAAGACGGCACTGGCAAGTTTCTGAACCTGACGCTGATGAGCCGTAAGGCCATGCAGCTGTGGGTGGACTACAGCGGCCAGGCCATGGAGCTCAATGTCACCTTAGCTCCTCTGGATGTTGAGAAGCCCAAGGACCCACTGCTGTCAACCGCCATCAACCTTTCAGAGATAGTAAACACTACAGCATACATCGGGTTCTCATCGGCGACAGGTCTCTCCATAGCATACCATTACATACTTGGCTGGAGCCTCAGTTTGAACGGAGCTGCACCTGTCCTCAACGCATCTAACCTACCTGTGCTGCCAAGATTACCTCACCAGAAGAAGCGCTCCCTATCTGAAACTTTGGTGATAGTGCTGCCATTTGCCACGGCTGGTTTCATCATCGCATTGCTCATTGTTGTGTTCATGTTTATGCGAAGATGGTTGAGGTATGCTGAGCTCCATGAAGATTGGGAGGTCGAGTTTGGGCCACACAGGTTCTCTTACAAGGACCTCTTCCATGCTACAAAAGGGTTTGTGAGCAAACAATTACTTGGGACAGGAGGGTTTGGGAGAGTGTACAAAGGGGTCCTTTTGGAATCTAACTTGGAGATTGCAGTAAAGAGGGTGTTGCATGATTCTAGGCAAGGAATGAAGGAGTTTATCGCAGAAATTGTTAGCATGGGGAAGCTTCGACACAAGAATCTAGTGCAACTACTTGGATATTGCTGTCGCAAAGGCGAACTTCTATTGGTCTATGACTACATGTCAAATGGTAGCCTCGACAAGCATTTATATGACCAGAGCAGACCTGTTTTAAGTTGGAACATGAGGTTCCACATCATCAAATGCGTTGCATCTGGTTTGTTGTACCACCATGAGGATTGGGAACAGGTGGTTGTTCACCGAGACATCAAGGCAATCAATGTTCTTCTTGACAGTGAGATGAATGGATGTTTAGGTGACTTTGGCCTTGCAAAGATGTACAGTCATGGCACCAACCCAAGGACCACAAATGTCGTTGGCACCATGGGGTATCTCTCCCCTGAGCTACTCCGCACAGGGAAAGCATCACCAGGAACCGATGTTTTTGCATTTGGGATGTTTCTATTGGAGGTGACCTGTGGACGAAGACCACTAGAGCATGACCAGGTTGTGCTGCTAGACTGGGTGCTCGAGCACTGGAACAAAGGAGCAATTCTTGACACAGTGGATGCACGGTTGAGTGGTCAGTACAGTGCAGAAGAGGTGAGCCTGGTTCTAAAGCTGGGGCTCCTATGCTTGCAGCCAATGCCTAATGCACGGCCTAGCATGCGGCAAATCTTGCAGTACCTCGACGGTACATTGACAGTCCCAGAAATGGCAATGATGAACCTGGACTATAGCACTCTGATGTTTCTGCAAAGTGAGGGGTTCGACTCATATGCCATGTTGGATGCGTCATCACGTGCGACAACAAGCATCGGTCCTGGATCTGACCTCTCAGGAGGACGATGATGTTAACTTGATTTACTATCGGTTATCAGTCTTGACCAGTAGTGTCTCCAGTTCTTTTTTTTTAATCAGTAGCTTAACTTGCACCGGAAAATGTAACCCCGCCCACTGCTTAGCTTTGTATTACTCCCATAAACTCAAATATGCCTATGCCCACATGATTTGTTATGAAGCAAAATATGTAATCTTGGTGGAACTAGAGCTAATGGTAGCAGGGAAACAAAAACACAACTGCTTTATCTGCATCCACACAAAATCTATTTGGGATGAAAATTGCAACAGAAGAAAACAACTTGTATTGCATATTCGACAGAAACAGAAACATTGCCGACCAGTACTAGTATCAGGTTATGCATGGGGCAGAATCAATGTTTGCAACACTGCCCATGAATAGTATCTATCAAAGGCAACAGTATACGTACAAGCTGGGAGAACGTGATGCACATTGTGCAATGCATTTTGCTTATTGGTTCATCTCCTTGCTCTCTTGCTCAATCATATAGGCCTTCTTCATTTCTTCCAGGACTGCATCATTTGTGCTGCCAAGGCATACAAAGCACATGGTGAATATCCACATGAATAGGATGTGTTGCTCATGCCAACATCAGTTTTAGTAAACAAATGCAATATGCAACTTCTTGAAAGAGAGTAAAAGTGAACATCTTCCAGGCTACAGTGAGATGTCCCACACTGAGGAAAGAAAAGCACTTCAACCAAAGGAATGAAAATCATTAGCATAGTCACTAACTTGTTGTCATCACGTGAAGACACTCACATTTTGATCATGATGGATAGCAGCACAGCTCATTTTATATTTTCCCATACAAATTGATCAGTACTCCCTCCATTTCAAATTATAAGACGTTTTGGCTTTTCTAGATGTATACCTTTTGTTATGCACATAGATATACACTATGTCTAGATACATAGTTAGAAAAGCCAAAATGTTTTATAACTTGGAAGTTGGAACGGAGGGAGTAAATAATATTAGGGTCATCAAATAGCAAACACAACATTTGGATTAACAGGGAATCAGGTAAATTGTCAACCATTAACGTTGTCCAGTGTTTTAGCATCATTCCCCATGAGACCATGCTGTCACAAGCAATAAGATCTGGTTACTCCTGGAATTCTTGACAGGGAAGTACACTGAACTTGGCTATAAAAATTGGTCACGTGTAAATATTAGAGAAAAGATTAACCATATCTAAGTCAAATTATGCCTGGTGCTTACTGATAAGATAAAATTGTAGTAACACGTACTAATCACCTAGCATGGTATTCCACAAGTCAAATCAACCTCCAGAAATGCATCTTATGAATAGCTAAATGAAACATGTTGCTGTTCGTAACCAAAAACAATTCTAGAATTGAAAAGAGGGAAAACCTGCACATATATTTTAAACCATATTATTCTGCTACTGAACAACAGATAAGAGGCATCTATTTCTCTAATTATAGGCAATATGCAAAATTTTCCCTTTTTGGGCTGGCTCATGGTTTGATGTCAAAGGCGCGTTTGTTTCTGGTATGAGTTTGTAAGAGTGGGTGGGTCTATTTCTCTAATTATAGGCAATATGCAAAATTTTCCCTTTTTGGGCTGGCTCATGGTTTGGTCAAAGGGCTGGGGAGTGAGGGGTGAGGTGGGCTGGGGTGAGGGGTGGGTGGGGGTGAGCATGGTGGGTGTGTTGTAATTTATTTATTTATTTATCTCCTTAATGCAATGATGCACAGCTCTCCTACGTATTTTGTAAATAAAATATATATGAAAAGGTGAATAGTGCTGCTACATGCAAGCAGGTTGTAGACATTAAATATGAGTGCAATTTTATCATACACAACAAAAATCAAACAAATAACAGAGATGCCACTTGGATGCTTATTCTAACATAACATAGTGGAACTTACAAGGCTGGAATGTAATGAGCACTTACTATTGATGAAGGCACTCATTCAACTCTTTTGCTTGTTTGCGGCATTGCCATACCACGGAAAATGTTCTTCCTCGAGCACATTCAGCATATTTTGAACAATAGAAATCACATTCCTTAAGGGCCTTTTGTTTCATTTTGCTCCGCAAAGCTGAAAAGAGAAACAAATAATGGGAAGAACTAACTCTTAGAAATAGATACAAATACAACAATCTTTAATGGGTTTCCTCTTTCCAGGGCATAATCTAAAACTCAATCTCAATGAATGCTAAAGAGCATCTCCAACAGGGACATGCCAGTAGACTACAAGCCTTGCCATGTCATCAGTTTGCTCACAGTAGAGAGAGGAAAATTGCTACTACATAGCAGAGAGATGGGTGTTAGCTATTAAATAGTAGATAGCCTAACAGCTTCAGCGCAAATTCCAGGTCACGAAATGATAGTGTGAGTCAAGGATAAATACAATAAGAATTACTGAAGGTTTGATAGATATAGTGCATATAGTCCCTCCGTCCCAAAAGGAGTGCAATTCTCACCTTTTGAGTCAAAGTGTCAAACAGTTTTAAATTTGACCAGATCTATAGAAAAAAATACTAACAGTTATGATACCAAATAAGTATCATTGGATTAATCATGGAATATATTTTCATAGTAAACCTACTTGGAGACATAAATGTTGTTACTATTTTCTATAAATTTAGTCAAAGTTAAGAAAAAATGACTTGGCTCAAATCTAGAATTGCATTTATTTTGAGACGGAGGGAGTAAATTAGAAACGTTTTCTATACACCATAGGTGACATGGACACATCTATGGTACCATTTCTAATGGAGACGTTGTAAACGACGATAATCCATTGAACAAAAAACTGTTCGTGTGAGAAACATTCTGGCCACGATGAACAGTACTCCATTAGTCCAACCATTTACATCTTTTTATGAGATTCAACATTAATTAATGGCTTGCTAGGAGAAAATCAGTAGAGAAATTTCCTCAATAATTAAGAATAGTTAGTTCACTCCACCAGGCATGCATGGGATATATTGTGTCCACTTCTGTGAGAAAACATTCTGATATTCATTCCGTTACAGTAAAAAAGAATGCACTAATATTCAGGTGTAACAAGCTGGTAGATAAATGTTCTTAATTTCTAATGGCCTGTGCAGCTGGGTGCTCTACTACAAAGCTCGAATCTGTTATACAAACTGGTAATAGACTAAAAATTGATAACTAATATGAGTTAACAACACCATATCGATGGAAGTTCATGCAAACAACATATCGTGGTGCAAATACCAACTACAACATAATCAGGTGAAGCAAAGCCAAACCAACGGATTTAACCTTGTAGTCAACTATCCATCTAACATAGAGAATCAATAGGAGCTCCGCACACTCCAGGACGCCGAAATCAACAAATGAAAAATGCTATGAGGCACGGATGGGATGGTGCGGGAGTCACCTTCCTCGACCTTCTTCTTGACGTGATTCTCCCGGGCCTCCTGGAGGTACCCCATGTCGCCGGCTCGCGGATTAGATGCTGCCGAACTGGATTGGGGGAGAGATCGAACAGTTGGGGGTTAAACCCTAGCGCCCTTGGAAGGTTTTCTCTCTCCTCCTGCTCCGAGTGGGTGAACTGGTGAAGTGCTCGCACGTGGAGTTTGCTAAAGTGTAACAAATAAAGATGAACAAAATTTCAGATCGAAGCACATCACATGATGAAGAAAACTACGGAGTAGGGGCGCAAGGATGCAGCTTACCAACTGTAGGGACACCTGACTTGTCGCCGCCGGCCGCTTGCTGCCCCGCCGCCGGTCGATTCGATGATGGCGCAGGGCTGCAGGGGGCTGGGATTTGGGATTTCGGAGAGGGCGTCTCCGGCTCGCCGCCGGCTGCTTGCAGCCCGGCCGCCGGTCGCCGTCGCCGTCGCCGCCAAGTTTCCAGTCGAAGTGGAAGTGCGGGAGTCGGGATGCGGCGCCGTTCTACGGCGAGCGTGCGGGGGAAGGGAGTAGGTCAAGCGTGAGAGAGTGGGTGCTGGGAGGTAGGTTGGGCCATTTTCATTTCATGGGCCGTATCTAAATCGGCCCATACGTATCTGATACTCGTTTCCAGGCTACTACGTATCCAGATTTCCTAGCACGCCCTGGATACGTATCCGCACCGTCGAGCTGTATCCGTATCTAAAACATGTTGGATACGCGATACGGACCCCCTGAGTATCCGCGCATCGTGTTGGTGCTCGCACGTTGAGGAGCTCTGTAACACGAATACGTCGCTTGTTGGTTTCAGCCAGGGCTTATCAGTCATGGTACAGTATTTTTCTCTCACAATAAATTAGCCGTACAAACCAGCACAAAGCGGCTTATCGAACCAACGAACAGGCTGAATGAGGGGCCGTATCGCGTATCGGATACGGATCCAATACGTATCCTCAAGTATCCCATTTTTATTTAATTTTTGGAATATTGAGTACGTGACTTGATACGTATCCACCTCTAGGATACGGCCCAGCCCAACAAACGCTCCTTATCTCCCTGAGTCCCCGTCGCGACGCCTCGCACGGTCGCAACTCGCGCCGCCACCTACACAGGGGTTGCGCCCCACTCGCCGACCGTCGGCGACGAGCCTCCACTCCCTCTGTGCCATCAATCAACATCTCCTCCACCTCCAAACTACCGCGCACAAGTCCGCCATAGCCACGGCCAGCATCTCCGCCTCTTACGCAAGGCATGCACCACTGCTCGCCGGCCGCCAGCGACGAGCCTCCGCCCGTCCGAGGCATCATTTGACTTCTCCCCTCCTCCAAATTGCCGCACCCACCAGTCCGCCATGGCCGCAGCAAGCTCCCGCAATGCAGGGGAGAGATGCAGGGGATAGGACGATTCAACAACAAAGCAAGCTCCTGGGACATCCCATGAGTACATCCCCTTCCCCATTCTTGATCTACTATGCTGCAGTTCTTCGTCCTGTTTATTTGGGCTGGTTTGGCTTATAAGCTATGGCTGAAAGTACTGTTGGCTGGTTTGGTGTGAGAGAAAAATATTGTTTGTTGGCTGATAAGCCATGGCTTATAAGCCAAATACGACCAAACGAATAGGCTGCTTGTTGCTTGGTTTTGTTTGTACCCTCCCTGATTAGTATTGGCCATGCTTGATTGCTTGCATGCAGTAGATGACCTCTCCTAATTTGGGTCCTAGCATCAGGTCTGTGGCCACCGGCCACAACCACAACATACGATAGGGGGGCTCTCTGTCCATGACTTCTCGTGTTCTAGAATTTTAGTAATTACGGATTCATCCAGTATGGTTGGACTTGGATCATCTGTGAAAACAAGAAACCTACAAGGTAATCTGGTGATGTATATATCACGTATGATTGCATGTAGAGTACTGAACTAATGATTAATTGATTAGTGATTACTCAAGTTATAGACATTCAGAATTTTAATTTACATTATTACTTATTTACTAAAAAATAGTAAAACGTATCTGCGTATCGTGTTTTCTAGGAAATTGTCGTATCCACGTATCCATATCCTTCCGATACCTATACGCATATCTATATCCATGCTGCATAGTTGAGGAGTTTGCTGAAAGTTGGGTTGTTGAGCCGTTAGTCAGTGGCCCACGCGTTACATGGGGCACTTCGGTTGGATCGACATGTCTAAAACTTTTGGACCAGGCCTATACGTCGGACGTCCAATCTAGGCTTTAGAATCAAGTTTTTCTAAATTTGCTTATAAAAAAAGAACTGTGTTGGATAATGGGATGAATGAGGTCTGATATCTGAACGCATCATTGTCATGGGACCAACGGTGGTCTCAAATTTCGGGATTGCTCATAGCTCCACTCGATCACACGAGATTCTTGGATGGATTCCCACAGTTGGGCGATGAGGACAACTCCACCGACACCAGCAACGACCGAATCATCACGAACAGTCCTGGCAGGTACGGCAAACTAACGAGCGAATACAACTGATTAGCTGTCGAGCTCGACTCTTTTGGCAAACTCCCTGCGTATCCGACGGCTGGAATGCTGTTGAAGTCTGCCATTACTTGGGTATCCGACGGCTATGAAGCGGTGGGTTTCCACTTGGACACAAGCACCTTTTGTGTGCTTGAAGGGTGGCGTTAGGGGCCCGAGAGGCGCACTTTGCCGCAAGACGTGCTACGCACGGATGGTGGCCAAAGTTGGAGAGTGACGGGGTCGACATCGGGGTGGCGCCTTGAGGATGGGAGTCTTCAGCGGGGCAGAGACGCACCTAGCAAACTCCCTAGCGAGGGCCGAAGGAGAACGTCGTCGTCGTTGGTTGCCGATCCCGCATCGGCGTAGAGGTAGGTTGTCGGACCTCACCATCCACCTCCGATGCCTCAGCATCCACCAAGTTGAGCTAAACCAGCCGTGGTGGTGAACGAGTGTCCGCCAACGATGCATGAACCTCCAGAGAGGCGGCTATCGGAGTAAACGGGCGCCCAAACGCTAGTGCACCTGCTGACCGACTCACGACAAGCGAGGCAGCGAGCTCATCGAGCATCGGGTCGACCCAAGCGAGAGGCCCAACGTCCTCGCTCAGCGCCATCGCGAGCGGGTCTGACTCGTGATAGCAATGTGCAGCAATAGAAATAGCGGCGTTGTTAGGTGTAGAAAGTAGTCGCGGCGATGTTGATTTCCCTTGCTGGCTTGCCTCAGCGCCGCCGATGGTCACCGCCCTTTTTGTCGTCACCGCAGCCGACCTGGACCGCTTGCAATCCTTGGCGAGGTGGCGGAATCCATGGCAGCGTAGGCAACGTCGTGGCAACCTACAAGTCGCTATTCGGTGCGAGTAGGAAAGGCAGTTGAAACATCTACCGCGAAACATTGCGGGGATGTTCTTGGACGGCGGTAGCTGCTCTAGTCCACGGCGAGGCCCTGGGGCGGCCACAGGGGGCATCTCCTGCCGAGGGAGGATTTTCTTCCACCCATCGACGTCGGGGCGCGGAGACCCGTCCACGACGGCCGAGGCGTTGACGAACAGGGACGCTACCTTCAACTGGCCGAGCCAGCAAGCTGTGCACCAACTGAGGCGCGACCGGCTACGCTTCCTCCGCCTTCGCATTGGTCCTTGTCGCCCAGCATCTGCTCTGTTGTGGCCTAGAGCCATCCTCGCAACGGCAACAACAGGGCCCTAGACCACGACAGAGCGTAGTCGTGGCCGTACGGGCCGAGGCGATGCCGGACAGGGCTGTCGGCGAACGACATCGAGGTAGGTGGGAGCCTTAGGCATGCTGCCCAGGTCGAGGCAGTCCTCGTCGGGACAGTCAAAAGAGTCCTCATCGTCGGTCTCGTCGCCGTTGTCGTCCACCCACCGACGGTGCTTCATGCGTCCTCCCGAGCATCCTAGGAATAATGGTACTGCGGCCAGTGAGAGTGAGGACGAGCTAGGGGCCGCCGGCGACGCCGCGGCAGGCCACAAAGGCCTAGACTTGGGCCAACTCACCCTAGCTCCCGCTCCTGCGTGCTTGGCGACCACGACGGTGGCGGCGGCAATAACGGGCCTCGGCAACGCAGGTGGTGTGTTCGAGCGGGGAGGTGGCGAAAGGGCGGCGGAGTTTTGGTGGTAGGTGCAAGCGATGGCGTCGATCAGCCGCAAGACCCCAAATACGGTGGAGGCCATGCGGCGGTGGCGTCTGCCGAGGGCGAGATCCCAGCACTTTATTCTTTGAGGGCCACTAGATCTGGCGCCTCCGCCCGGCGCAAGAAGAGCCGACGGACAGGGACGCAAGCAGAGCCAGCAGTTGCGGCGGCGTGGTTGGGTTCGGCATCCGCAGCAACGCATGTGGCCCGGAACCAGCGCTTGCTCCAGTGGTGCCTTCGGTGGTGGGCAGGGGAGAGGAAGGGGAAGGGGGGGGGGAGGAGGAGGTGGGGCGCCGGCGGCGGGGATGCCGTCAGGGCGCTAGGGCAGCTAGGAAGCTTGGTTTCAAATTGCCAGTATGTATGATGCACTTTGTGTCCAGCGATTCTGCTGGTTTGGTTGCTTAATGGAATGTAAATTCCCATAAAAAAAAACTGTTCGATTAGTCTTGTGGTGATGGGATGAATGAAGGTCTGAACTGTGAACACTTATGCATCGCTGTCATGATGGGACCAACGGTGGTCTCAAATTTCGGGATTGCTCGTAGGTCCACTCAAGCGTTGTTTAGTTAGCTAAAATTTAGTCTCTATCACATTGGATATTTAGACACATGTATGGAGTATTAAATATAGATTAAAAATAACTAATTGCACAGATTACAACTAATTTGCGAGATGAATTTTTTAAACCTAATTAGTCCATGATTTGACAATGTGGTGCTACATTAAATATGTACTAATGACGGATTAATTAGACCTAATAAATTTATCTAGTAGATTATTGAGGACTTCTGTAATTTATTTTATTATTAATATCCGAATACTCTCATATAACATCTCGACGTAACATCTAATATGACATCCCTAAATTTTATTCGTTGGATTTAAACACCACCTCAATCACT